TCGGATTTCCAACACTCCCCCTTGCTGTAGGTTTTAGTGAATCCGAGTTCCTTGGAGGATGGGGTGGTCGAGGTGGTATACCACCACAAGATAGGGGTGCGCCCAAACCAAGTTAGGGTTTGGTGTTGGCCAAGCTGCTTGTCACTGTAGCACCTTTCCCCTCCCAACCTTTGGGCCTTCCAAACTCCAACCAAACCATCTTCCTTCACATTTTCAGATGGCGTTCACAGCAAGTTCGCTAAAAGCAAACCGCGCTCAAGCCACCCAAAAGTGCAGATTTTTGTGTACAGTGTGGCAGTAACCCGATTCAACCACACCCACCCCACGTGCCCAGCGACGAGTCTCACGACCATCGCACAACCCAAACAGTAAGCTTGCACCCAATCACATACATTTGGAAGAAACGGTTATGCGACCGTAACCTGGCGGAAACCACCGCTCAGTAGACGGCATTATACAAAGCTGCTGGAGGGAAATGTGAAGAAATGAGGAATGAATGAACTAGCAAGCAGATGGGTACAAGTAGGAAAACCTAAGAGTGTTGTACCCCATATTGTCTACCCCACTACAGCCTACACAGACTATAACATATGAGTTTGACACACCCCCATAGGCAAAGTGGGGGAGAACAAGAGGTCACAAGACCAGTCAAGCAAAGCAAAGCAAGCTCAGGGTGGATCACAATGTCACCACACATTCTGAGCACAAGAGCAAGGCCACAAGGCCAGTTCACATGCAAGATCATATATAAAGGTAAACAAGCAAGTGCAGGTATAGAAAGATCACAGTACAAGCAAGGTCAAGAAGTGAGCAAGTGAGGCCAAGTAGGCACAAGACCTAGCATCGTACAAAAGCGCTGATGATCACAAGGCGGAAGTGCCTTGGTAAAGATATCAACAGTGTTGGCCTCAGAGGCCACGTAAGCAAGGCGCAGCTGACCACGCTGCTGCAGCTCACGAGCAAGGAAGTAGAGAAGAGCAATGTGCTTCGTTCTGTTCTCCAGTCTGTGCTCCCGACACAAGGCCAGCATGGCCTTGTTGTCTACGTACAGAACTGGAGGAGAACGAGGCGGCTCTCCTAGGCCAGTCAGCAGGTAGGTGAGCCAGCGTAGCTCCTGTGCAGCCATGGCCCCGGCGTAGATCTCACCCTCACAGCTGGAGCCCAGAACAAAAGACGAGCGGGTAGACCGCCACGAAACAGAGCCGGAGCCAAGGTTGAAGGTGTAACCCTGTGACGACCGCTGCGTAGCCTGGTCGTCAGCCCAAGAAGCGTCTGCGTGACCTATGAGGACCACTGGACATCGCCCTCCAGGCACTAGCCCCATGCTCGACGTACTGCACAAGTAGCGCAACACCCTCTTCGCTGTAGCCATGTGCTCTGGTCGGTGTCTCCCAGGAGCAACATAGCGTGCCAAGATGCTAAGCAGGTATCCTAGGTCAGGTCGTGTGCAAGTCATCAGGTACATGAGGCAGCCAACAAGCTCTGGGTACGGGCCACTCGGCTCTACGGACTCATCTAAAGGCAGAGCTGAGAGCGAGTGGCGAGTAGACAGAGGAGTGGTCTGAGGCGAGGAGTACGTGAAGTCGAAGCGCTGAAGGACCTGCTGCACCATGTGTGACTGAGTCAGGGTAATGGTGCGCTGTGCTCTGTCCCGGGTGATCTGCAAGCCAAGGTAGCTGCGCAGTTCACCCGGGTCTATGCACGTGTGTCTCTTCTGCAGCTCGAACTTCACGTGGGCTCGTAGTCGCGCTGAGCGGCTATGTGCAGCAGCACCCGAAGAGTGGTCATCTTCGAGGTGGGAGAGAAGGTCTGAAAGTAGTCAACTCCCTGCCGCTGACTGAAGCCTCGAGCCACGTAACGCGCCTTGAAGACAGGCGGAGAACCCGGCGGCCGCTTCACCCTGAAAATCCACATGCCACTGACGATGTTCACCCCAGGTGGGGGAACCTCGTCGACGTAGGTGCCTGTGGACTTCCAAGAAGCCATCTCTGCGTCCATGGCTGACTGCCACTGTGAGGAGTAGGGACCCTTGATCGCCTCAGCGTACGATCGAGGAGTCGGGATGTCTGGTGCATCCGGGTCTCCCTCAGGGGCAATCAGCATGGGCACGAGATGAGGCAAAGCAGCAGCAAAACACAGGAACTCCTCCTCCCTGTCCTCAAGGACGTCCGTGCTAAGAGCACACTCACCCCCGACGGACGGAGGACAGACAAACTCAGACTCATCAACAAGACTAGCAGCATAGTCTAGACGACAGCGAGCAGCAAAGTCAAACAAGCTCAGCAACTAAGGCAGACGCAGCAGTGGACTCAACAGAAGGGTCAGTGACAACAGTAGCCAGGAGACGCGTGACAGTAGGAGTGGCAGCACGAAGAGAGTCAGACTCCGGGTCAGCAAGAGTAGGAAGAGAGGACTCTGGAGGAGACGGCAACGAGACACGCAGAGGAGCAGTGGAAGGACGCAGTGCCATCTGGTGTGTGCCGTGGACCGCAGGAGGACGCGGACGCGGAGCACGACCACTAGTGCGAGATGTACGAACAGGCGACGCAGGACGAGACGCAGGCTCACGGCGCTCAGCAAGACCTCAAGTAGGACTAGTGTAGGGAGAAGGAGCAGGCAGAGGGGAGGCGGGCTGTAACTGTGACCGCGACTGGACAGGCTGTGGACATGCTAAGCAAGGAGCATGATCAGTAAAGGGCGGGAGACCAAGGACCTGCTCAAGGAGTGGAACGAAGTACGGCCTCGGCCGCGCAGCGTTTCCAGAACCAGCAGGGACAGCACCAGTACCCCCAGCGGCAGCACCAGCGCCAGCAGCACCTCTAACTCCAACAGTGCCAACTCCAGCACCCTCAGAAGCACCAGCGCCAGCAGAACCACCAGCGCCAACACCTCCAGCAGGACTCCCAGTCCCAGCAACTCCAGAACCGCCAGAACGAGCACCTCCAGGACCAACAGCAACAGAAGTACCTCAAGCTCCAGCAGCACGGCTCCAACGCCGGGCAAACCACTCGCGCAGCTCCTACGGACAGAGTAGCTCCCGCCTCGACGAAGCACCGCCAGAGGCCACACGAGCAGACCCAACACCCCCACGCTCCGCACTCCAAGGCTCCGAACCCCCAGGCACAGCACCCCCAGGCTCCGTACCCCCAGGCTCAGCACCCCCAGACTCAGCACCCCCAGGCTCAGCACCCCCAGGCTCAGCACCCCTAGACTCAGCACCCCCAGGCTCCGCACCCCCAGACCCGACACTCGTAGACCCGGCACCCGCACGCTCAGCGCCCCTAGCAGCACCAGAGTCAACAGCTACCTCGACAGGCTCAACTCCGTCTACCTGGGACACACCGGACGGGGCAGGACCCTGAGGGGGGAGGGGTTCTACCGGGGTAGGACCTGGCGCAAGGAAGAGCGGCGGCGGGGCGAGGGGCGCAGTGCGGTAGGGGAAGAGACGGTATTAAGGCACCGACTCGTCAAAGGTGACGTCCTGGGAGGACAGAACACGGCGCGAGGTGGGGTGGTAAAACTGCCAACTAGGCGCGTGAAGGGGGAAGCCAAGGAAGACGCAGGGAACAGCACGAGGGGACAGCTTGTCCGCAGACAAGTCGCGGACAAACGCCCGTGATCCCCAGACCCGGAACGCAGACGCATCGCCAACCTTCCCCGTCCACCGCAAGGTGGGGGAGGACTCTGGCAAGGAGACCCGAGGCTGAAGGTTGAGCTGATGCGCTGCGTACTGAACCGCAAACGGCCACAAAAAATGGGGAGCAGCCGCATGGATCATGGACGTACGAGCGACGTCCGTGACCATGCCAATGCGGCGCTCAGCAATCCCATTTTGCTGTGGAGAGGCCGGAAGCGTGAAGGTGTGGCGGATGCCCTATGCACGACAGAAGGCTCCCAGACGGGCAGAGGAAAACTCCCCGCCTCTGTCAGAGTGCAGATGCAGAACAGGAAAGTCCAAGCCGAAACTCTCTCTGAGCTGGAGACGAGCTGCGCGGATCCAGTCGATCAACACCTCAGTGACGTCACCCTTGCTGCGCAAGGGGAACACCGTGGTGTAACGCGAGTAGTCGTCAACCACCAACAGGAAGTAACGCACGTGACCCTGGCCACGGACGTGGGCGGGGCCCCACACGTCCATGTGAAGAGTCTGCAGGGGAGCCTTTGTCGGAGGAAACTCGGAGGAGTGAGGGGTGGCGCGCTGCCGCACCTCGACGCAGGGGACGCAGGTAGGGGCAGGCCCCGGAGGTAGGGGAGGGAGGGACCGGGGGAGACCAGAGACAAGGACACGTGAGGCCATGCCTTGGAGATGAGGCAGGGAGGGGTGACCAAGGCGGTGGTGCCAAAGGAGAGTCTGGTGGGACAGGAGACGACATGAGCAGGGCGGAGACTAAGGACCAGACCTGGACGCTGCCGCAAACACCTGACTCGACGCAGCTACTAGACCAGACTCAGCAACCAGAGGAGACTCAGGAGTCAGCGTGTACAGGTTTGACCCCGGCTGACGGGTAAACGTGGCCAAGTGTCGGCTCGTCCGAGCACACGTACAGTGGGTCACCCGCTGACTCGCAGGCGTGAACTGGTCAACCCCCCGATCCTGTAGATCAGCTCCACTCACCAAGTTCGTAGAGAACGAGAGGGTGGTAGAGACCTGACAGGGTGCCAGAGGGGGCTGCCGGACACGGTAAGACAGTGGAGAAGCTAGCAAGGACAGGACCCCCAGAGGGGTCCGCCAGGGAGACCGCAACCGGCCGACCAAGCGGCGTAAGCATAGTGCGGTCTCGAAAGAAGGAGCGGGAAGCACCCGAGTGGTACCTGAGAGAGCAGACTCACCAGCACCTAGGGCAGCAGACGCACTAGCACCTAGAGCAGGAGCCTAACCAGCACCTAGAGCAGCAGCCTCAATGCTCGGGTCAGGCGGAACGCACAGGTAACAGTCACCCTCATCTCTCCCCAGCGAGGGATCTTAGTGGCGTCAGGGAACTGATGATGCCAAGCGTCCGTCAGGCGGCCGAAGCAGCGCTGGGTGGAGTGCGTGCCCCCGCACTGCTCACCAGCGCGATCGCCTGTACGGAGGACGTAGGTGCAGGGACCAGTACCCCCACCCCGCTGACGCCCAGCATACCACTCACGAAGCTGCTGAGGGGACAGGGTCTCACGACTGCGCTGCTGCTGCTGGCGCGGACCACCACCGTAGCCACTCCTCTGCGCAAAGCCGCGACCAGCTCCACCGCTGCCTCCGCCGCCTCTGCCACCTCCGCCGCCTCCGCCACCTCCGCCGCCTCCGCTCCCTCCGCCACCACCGCCGCCTCCTCCGCCTCCACTGCTGCCACCGACACCTCCACCCCCGCCACCACTCCCACCACCACCCCCACCCCCTCCACTGCCTCCACCACCACCTCCACCGCCCCCGCCAGCCCCTCCAACGCCCTTGCCCCCCTTGCCCTTGCCGGTGCGGCGTCTCCCGCTAGGGGCAGACGCAGCGCCGACTGACTCGAAGCCAACGAGGTCGGCCGCAGCATCAGAAGCAACAGAGGGCAAGAAGGGGGAGGGAGAACACCCCTCAAAGACGGCGGTGCGAGGGTCACCACGAGAGGCTCCTACAGCGACTATGCTATTCTCTGCTGCTAGGAGGCGCTCCTCGAGGAGGTCAACGGTGAGTGTGGTTGGGAAAACTGAGAGGAAGTGGTCCCTGACTAAGCGAAGGGAGTCAGGGAGCCGGGTGACTATGTAGTAGAGGGTGATGTACATGCAGGGGGGGTTCTTGGCAAAGAATTCAGCAGGAAGCGCAGCGCGGTAGCAAGTGTCGCTAGTGCGAAGGTGCGTAATGAGGTCAACGACTGTGGGAAAGGCAGCAAGGTCAGGGAACAGGTACGGTAGCATGAGGCGGCTAGGCGCAGTAGTGGCAGGGGAAGAGTAGCGTGCAACTACAGCGTCGTACAAGGTCTTAGCACTCTTGTACTGGCTAAAGTGCGCACGCTCAGTGGTCGGTAATTGGCGACGCACAGCAAGACGGGCAGCAGCATCGCGCGTGGCCCACTGTGAGCAAACAGTGCTGTCAGCAGTAGCAGGCGGGGCAGGAGAGGCACCAGAGGTGAGATCAAACAGGGAGAGTCCGTCTGCCCTATCGAACTGTAGGAACAGCTAGAGGTCATCGACCCAGACCTCAAAGTCAACAGCACGACCCTCAGTATCAAAGGTAAGGACACTAAGGGTAGCCATGACTGCAGTGGTCTAGCAGGAAGTGATCTCACCAGTCCAAGGAAGTAGGGCCGGGGCGCGCCGGTAGGAACAGTAGTGGCTCGACGGCAGGGCGGCTCGGCGGCTCGGCTGCTAGGCGGCACGGCGGCTCGGCGGCTCAGCGGTTGGGCGGCTCCGCGGCTCGGCTGTTGGGCGGCTCGGCTGCTGGGCGGCTCGGCGGCTCGGCTGCTAGGCGGCGCGGCGGCTCAGCGGCTCGGCTGCTGGGCAACTCGGCGGCTCGGCTGTTGGGCGCCTCGGTTGCTGGGCGGCTGGCGGCGTGGTGGCTCGGCTGCTCAGCTGTTGGGCGGCTCAGCGGTGAAGGGGCCGGTAGAGGCGGCGATGGGGCCGGAAGAGGCGGCGATGGGGCCGCGAAGAGCGGCGACGGGGCCGCTAGGGGCGGCGATGGGGCCGCGAAGGGCGGCGAGTTGGCCGCGAAGGGCGGCGATGGGGCCTCCAGGGGCGGCGACGGGGCCGCTAGGGGCGGCGACGGGGTCGCAAAGGGGCCAAGAGGGGCGGCGACGAGGTCGCGAAGGGGCCGTAAGGGGCCTAGAGGGGGCGGCGACGGGGCCGCAAGGGGCGGCGACGGGGCCGCGAAGGGGCCGCGAGGGGCCCAGAGGGGCGGCGACGGGGCTGCGAAGGGGCCTATAGGGGCGGCGACGGGGCCGCTAGGGGCGGCAACGGGGCCGCGAAGGGGCGGTGACGAGCCTAGAGGGGCGGCGACGGGGCCTAGAGCGGCGACGACGGGGCCGTGAGAGGGGCCGTGAGGGCCCGCGAAAGGGGCCGCGAGGGGCCTGAGGAGGGCGCGACGGGACGCTAAGGGCTAGGGACGCGACGGGAGGGAGGGCACACGGGGCGCGACTCGGGCAGGAGGGAAGCGCGCTCCGGGCAGGAAAAAAAAACCGATTCTCAGTGGTGGGCCCTAGGAAACATTCCCACTAGGGAACCTGCTCTATACTATGTGAAGAAATGAGGAATGAATGAACTAGCAAGCAGGTGGGTACAAGTATGAAAACCTAAGAGTGTTGTACCCCATATTGTCTACCCCACTACAGCCTACACAGACTATAGCATATGAGTTTGACAGGAAACGTCCAACAGTTCACCGAATCGTCCCGCCACATACTCCAAAATTTGGAAAAATTGGAGCGGCACGAACTCAAACCCAACTCCTGTCGACTCGAACAACCCGTGCGGCCACTGCCATCCGAAATTCACTAGGGCCCCAAGAAGAAAACAAGTACTGGGTGAACGGCCGACTGGTTTCATTCATATCCTTCCGCCTCTGAGGTTCCTTCCACCCAATCCAGCAAAATGCCTTCCTCCTCTCGTCGCCAGAATGATAATAGAGGTGTTGATACTCCTACCGATCAGGAGGCGCCGTCTGTCACTCCGTATGTCACATGGTTGCGAGAGCAGGAGGCACTTGGTGTGAAGCGAATTCGTTTAGTAGGCTTGTCGAATGACTCCTCCTTACAACGCTCGCGAAGCCACTCTGGTCCTTCTGCTTAGTCGGCGCCATCCAACGGTGGAGAAATGTAGGACAGATGCGGAATCTTTTGACGACAACGACGGCTACAACGCCATCTACACCCCACAGCCAACGGAATCGGACAATCGTAGCACGGCTGATCCTAACGTCACCACGCCAAAGAAAGGGAAGCGCAAGGTTGAGGGCGCCGGCTCCAGGAAAGAGTCTTGGGACCCATGGGAGCTTACGGACTTTGGTGCATGTATGTGGTCGACCAAAGAAGATTTTGAGAAGCTCAAAGGGAAGCAAGGTACCCAAAGGTGGCACAGGATCGAGTTTCTATTACAGCGTCAAAATTCCAACTGGAGGTGTCCCGCTTATGCGTTGGAGAAGCAGTGGTCCCGGCTGAAGGCACGTATGAACGAAATTAAGGAAGCTGATGCGAAATCCGGGAACCACCCTATGCCCAAACCGGATTGGTACGAATACGTCTACAACTACTTCAATTCCGACCGGGCCCCGAACCCGCACGTCATTGACGAAGGAGGTGCCTGGACTGAGAATGCAACACCGTCAAACGATTCGACCTCCCAACCTGCACGCACCGAACGTACGGGTACGTATCATTGAATGTTCTGGAATAACAATGTGAACCATGGATACATGTCGTTTTCGAAAAACTAAAATCACTCCTACCCATCAAAATTAATATGCTCATCTCACACGTTCCTCCCTGCCCCCTTTCTAAACCACACACATTCCAGAGAGTCATAGTGCGCCAAGACGACCATCCATCCCGAGACGCGTTTCGGGGCCTCGGGGAGAGAACGAGACGCCCTCCACCAACGAGCACATGTCCCGCCTGGTACACGAACGTACGGAGAGGCAGCAGCTGAATGTGGAGCGGCTTATTAACGTGCTCGAACGCTTTGCGCCACCGCCAGGAAACTGACACAATGCCCATGGCGCTATCGGTCAACTTTCTGGAGCATCGACATCGGTTCATGTCACCAATTTGCACCTCCAACCAGCAGGCATGGCATATTGGTACAGCCAGCCTCCAACCAACACTCACCCCATCCTCACGCAAAATGCCCCACAACCATTCTTCCATGCTTCCGCGCCTCCAGCATTGCAAACGGTCATCATGGACAGCCAGGGAAACTTATACTTCCCCGCTACTCTGAATTCGAGCCAGCCCCCTCGTGGCGCATAAGCCAAGCTTGGTGAATCGCCTCACAGAACTATTGGCGACGGGTCACACACGCATCACGAGTGGTTGCGGGGGTTGGTCGCCACCTGTACCGTCGAATATTTCCCCGCTCCCACCAACAGTTCCTCGTCCGCACAACTTCCCTCCGCCACCAGCTCCACGACGTTTTCCTGCACTGCTCTTCGCTCTCGATCATATTATGAAGCACGACTGCACAGCCCACCCCAGCACACACCCGCCACAGCCTCCCCTCGTGACGGCCTGCAAAGAGACGCCATCGGTTTTTGAACAAGCCCATGCACCTCTCCACAGGCATCAGCGTAGCGGACTGCACGTAATTGAAGCTCTGTTCCCATCCCTCTAACAACCTTTCCTTGCTTGCAGTTAGAGGTACCAGGCAGAAATCCTTCAGAGGGTAGGCAGCATCCGCAATTAGTGAGAAAATGAACGAGAATGGAATGACTAAGGGAAAGTTGGGTACAAGTACAAACCCTAGACAACTGTACCCCGTATGTGCTACCCCACTATAGCCTACAGTAGCTATGTCATATAAATCTAACACACCCCCATAGGCAAAGTGGGGGAGAACAAGGGGTCACAAGACCAGTCAAGCAAAGCAAAGCAAGCTCAGGGTGGATCACAAAGTCACCACACATTCCGAGCACAAGTTCAAGGCAACAAGGCCAGTTCACATGCAGGATTACATATATATATAAGGCTAGACAAGCAAGAGCAGGTGTATATATATATGCAACAGTACAAACAAGGTCAAGGGGTGAGCAAGTGAGGCAAGGTAGGCACAAGATCCAGCTGAGTACAGAAGCGCTTATGATCACAAGGCGCAAGTGCCTTGGTGAAGATATCAGCAGTGTTGGCCTCAGAGGCCACGTACGCAAGCCGCAGCTGACCACGCTGCTGTAGCTCACGAGCAAGGAAGTAGCGGAGAGCAATGTGCTTCATTCTGTGCTCCAGTCTCTGCTCTCGACACAAGGCCAGCATGGCCTTGTTGTCTACGTACAGCACTGGAGGAGAACGAGGCGGCTCTCCGAGGTCAGTCTGCAGGTAGGTGAGCCAACGAAGCTCCTGTGCAGCCATGCCCCCCACGTAGATCTCAGCCTCACAACTGGAGCCGAGAACAGAAGACGAGCGGGTAGCCCGCCACGAAACAGAGCTGGAACCAAGGCTGAAGGTGTAACCCTGTGACGACCGCTGCGTAGCCTGGTCGTCAGCCCAAGAAGCATCTGCGTGCCCAGTGAGGACCACTAGACTCTGCCCTCCAAGCACAAGCCCCATGCCCGACGTACTACACAAGTAGCGCAACACCCTCTTCGCTGCAGCCATGTGCTCCGGTCTGTGTCTCCCAGGAGCTAGATAGCGTGCGAGAATGCTAAGAGGGTATGCAAGGTCAGGTCGTGTGTAGGTCATCAGGTACATGAGGCAGCCAACAAGCTCTGGGTACGGGCCACTCGACTCTACGGACTCATCCGAAGGCAGAGCTGAGAGCGAGTGGCGAGTAGGCAGAGGAGTGGTCTGAGGCGAGGAGTACGTGAAGCCGAAGCGCTGAAGGACCTGCTGCACCATGTGTGACTGAGTCAGGGTAATGGTGCGGCGTGCTCTGTCCCAGGTGATTTGCAAGCCAAGGTAGCTGCGCGGTTCACCCAGGTCTGTGCACGTGTGTCTCTTCTGCAGCTCCGACTTTATGTGGGCGAGTCCAACAGTGTCAGCTGTGGCAAAGACCAAGTCGTCGATGTACACGAGGATGTAGAACGGAGGCAAAGAAGTGTCGGTGCGTAGAAACAGCGACGGGTCGGCAGTAGAGGGAGCAAACCCAAGAGCCGCAAGCGTAGTCCTCAGTGTGTCGTGCCACTCACGCGGTGCCTGGCGGAGACCGTAGATTGGCCGCCGGAGGCTCCACTGGGTGCCAGGAGGAAAAGACCCAGTGAAGCTAGGTGGGCGACGCAG